TCAAACATTTAATTAACTCACCCCCTAATGCATTTGCAGGGCCAGACTAAATGACTTTGCCGGCCTTTATATGGCCCAGAGGGTGGATGTTCCCCACCCTGGTGTAAATGTACCACCGTTTTTTTATCCACTCATCTCCTATAAATCAACAAACAACAAGTGTTGGCCAGGATGTAGACAAAAGGGAACCTTTGTGCACTGTTGGTGGGAATGCAGATTGATACAGCCACTGTAGAAAGCAGTATAGAATTACTTGAAAAATTTTAAAATGGAACTGCCTTATGACCCAGCAATTCCACTTCTGGGAATATATCTGAAGAAACCAGAAACACTAATTCAAAAAAATATATGCACCCCTATGTTCATTGCAGCAATATTTATAATAGCCAAAATTTGGAAGCAGCCCAAGTGTCCATTAGTAGATGAGCAGATAAAAAATCTGTGGGGTAACATAATTTTTAACATTCAAGAAAGAAACAAAATTTCAGAACATATATAATTTTAAAAGATATAATATCATGTTAGAGAAGTATTTCAAAAGTTGATAGAAGATAGTAATAGTATATAAATTAACATGACAAAATTATTTTACCTAAAACATCAATCACAAGTATAAAAATGACTGTTGCACAGCTATAAAAATTGTTTTTAAAATATTTTGTTATAATACTTTAGAGGAGTATTAAAACTTTGTTATATAAGTAAAACATAATTCTAGATTTCTGATATTATATGCGCCATGTTCCATAAATTATTTCAAGGCCATTAGCCTTTTAAAAAGATTATCACCAAAGATAAAAATAATCAAGAGTCCCTGGATCGGATGCTCAGTGGTTAGCGCTTTGGCCTAAGCACGAGATCTTGGGTTCATTCTGGTCAAGGCATGCATGTACCTTGTTGCCACATTTGATCCCTGGCCCCAGTCGGGGAGTATGTGAGAGGCAACCAATTGATGAGGATTAATAAAAAGTAAATAAATAATTAAAAATTCAAGAGTCTATTTCATAAAATAATTGCCCAAATCCAATATACAGGTTTAAACCTTGCATTACAAACTTTTAGGCTGTAAGTTCTGTTTTGTTTTGTTACAAAGGTGGTATATGTTCATAAGAAAATAATTTAAACAACATTAAGTATCTATATATCTATACTAATAAAAGGGTAATATGCAAATTGGTTGGGATGCCCTCATGCAACGACCAAACAGCAGGCTGCACTGGGCGACCAGGCCGGCAGGGAGGGCAGTGAGGGGCAACCAAACGACCGAACAGCAGGCTGCGTGTGGCGACCAGGCTAACAGGAGGGGCAGTGAGGAGCGACCAGCCCAGCAGAGGGGAGCAGTTGCGGGAGACCAGGCCAGCAGGAAGGGGCAGTGAGGTGTGACCAGGCTGGCAGTGGGGGGCAGTTAGGGGCGACCAGGCTGGCAGCGGGGGGCAGTTGGGGGTGACCAGGCTGGCAGCGGGGGGCAGTTGGGGGTGACCAGGCTGGCAGGGGGGAAGTTAGGGACAACCAGGCTGGAAGGGGAGCAGTGAGGGGCGACCGGGCCGGCAGACAGAGGCGATTAGGGGTGATCAAGCCAGCAGTGGGGGGCAGTTAGGAGTGACCAGGCTGCTAGGGAGGGCAGTTA